TGCCGCCCCCTCCCTGCCCCTCCGTACCTGAGCAGGCAGGTGCCCAAAGCAGGCAGACGCGCCGCCATACACAGATCAAACCGGAGTGATTTGAGATCTCACAGGATCCCACCCCCAGGACAGGTACCCACACCCACGGCACAAGCACAAGCACATTCCCCTTTTCACCACCCTTGCTGGGAGCAAAGTGCTGATGGGAAGGGGCCGCTGATTTTCTTGGCAACTGCTCAAGAGCCAAAGCCCTCTCTTTCCTCCCATGCCCAGCGGGCCAGGAGGTATTTTTACGCTGATGATGTATTCAGTGCTCCTGCCAGGAGCCAATGAGCCTGCAAAACCACTGCTGCTCCCTTATCCATCCCCAAACACTATGGGCAGGTTCCTACTCACTCTGCCAAATTTGCCATTTCCTTCACAGCTTCCACAGCCCCGGGGAGTGGGTCCAGCTCGATGAAGAAGTTCTTGGATTCCCAGATACTGATGGCTTTCTCCTGCAAGAGGAAAGAGAGCAGTTAGTGCACAGGGCTTCTTGCTGCTCTTCTCCTTGCACGTGCATCTTCCCCACCCTTTGGTAGGACAGAGGATGGTGACAGCGAGAAAGGTGGGATTGCTCCAGTCCCCTCCTTGCCTCTGTGGGTGCTGCCGTTCCCCACCTGCCAACCTGCCCTCGTCCAACACAATTTAGGTTGGAGATGCTCTGGAGCAGGTTTGCTTTTGCCTGTGCAGCCCCAGATACAGAGGGAGCAGCACGTTCCTTCAAGGCAAAGCGCAAGAGATTGTCCAGAACGGAACTCAACCCCGGGGTCTGTGTCCAGAGGGGTACTTCCACATGGATCTGGATCATGTGGCCTGTTAGCCCTGCTGTAACGTGATGCTGCTCAGCTCCAGATGCTGTCTAGCCTATTTGTCTCAATCAGATCACTTAAAATAGCAGCCGAGCTACTCTCAAAGGAGAAAGTGTATTATAGGATGAAATGCATGTCAGGATGAACGCAGATGGTCTTCCTCAGGGATGCCTGGGACAGGACTACCAGGAAAACACAGCACCTCCAGGCAAGAGTTTGAAGCGTTTAACATCCAGGTTGGCAGCTGGAGTGCACTAGTACGGCACAAAGGGAGAACCAAGCAGAGAAAGACCATGGGGAGCAAAACCTTGGGATGAAGGCAGAGTCCAGGGGCTGCCTGTGATGGGTCCAGCACAGCTCTAAGGAACTGCATCCCTTATCCTCCCTCGAACAGGTAACTGCTTGTCAGCTGCCAAATAAAGCAACTGTTTTGCACAGATATGGGGTCCTCAGGGAAGAGAGCCTGGGAGCGCTGCAACACCATTGTGGGCAATGTTCTGTCCCACAGAGCTGCAGCTGGGAGAAGCTGTGAAGGGAGCCCTGCCCTGAAGGGTTGATTTTGATTTTAAGCACTTCTGTTTCTCTGTTTGAGGAAGGGGAATAGGGACAAAAGGAACAGCAAGGCCATCGTGGCTGCCTTGTATTACACAGGATGGAGGAGCCAGCAGAACATCAGGGTAGGGGAGAGCAGCCTCAAAGATGCTTACGTGCTGGTTCTTAAGCTTATTCATACATGTTCAATATGAAACACACTGTTTTGGTGTAAGAGAATCAGCAGAAACGCTTCCTGGCACCACGACCAGAATGGTTATCCTACCAGTTTGCCACAGGGCCAGGCAAACATTCAAACTCCAGTTGCTCTCCCTTAGACCGGTGAGCCATGATGTTTTATTTTTAAGATACTGATGGCAGTTGCACAGCAGACATCTGAGAAATGTGGCCTGATGCAGCAAAGCACTTCAAACTGCGCTGAAGTGTTTTGTTACAGCAAGGACTTCCGAAGCTTTTCTGCTTCCACTTATGTCAAAAAGTGTTTCACAATCAAGCTTGATGGGGGAAGAACTAAGCGTCTTGAAGAAAAGACCCGCTCAGCTCCCCGAGCCGGAATGACTCCCTACAGCACTGCAGCCAGCACGCTGCCCGGCTGCTGGAAAAATCCCCCGGGGCTGGAAATCCCACCAGGTGCCAGGCAGGACAGCCCCTTGATTTCCTTCTCCTGCTGTCTCCCCACGAGCAGTTTCCTTGCCTGTCCAGAGCTCCCCGTCCTTCCAGATCTGTGTGCTCGGTGTACTGCTAACTGTAACCCTAACGGCTACTGAGCCTTTGTTCTCCCTTTCAGAGCTGGGAGTTTCAGCTCGTTGGGACTCTTTAGCTCTTATTTTCCAGTGCCCTACAGTAGGTTGATGGTGTTCTCCAACGGGGGGGAACTGGAACAGCTCATGTGCCTGGAGCCACAGAGCGACTCCTACTCTCTTTATCCTTTGTCTCAAACCATGAGTGAAATCAGGGCTGCCCTAAGGTCGGTCTGTGGAAATTTTGCTACTTGTTCAGCTCAAGTTTTTGGTGGTTTTACGCGATCACAGCAGACACAAGTTGAGCTCACTTCATTTAACACATCCAAAATGGTTACGATCAAGAATAAAAAAAAAAGTTATAACGCATGACCCTGTCAAACTTTTAGCATCTGCCTTACTGCAGGAATGACGTCCTCCACTTCCCTTTCATTGGTCCCAGCTAGAGAGGACACGTTATTCTTTCAGCTCATCAAAGTTATTTAGGACTTGGCCAGTGGGAGAGATCCGGACCTTCTTCATGCTCCCTTTCCTGTGGCCATCACACCACTGGCAACAAGAGTACTTTTATTTTCTGTAGCACCTTTCAACTTGTGCAACTGCAATCCGCAGATAAGACCATGGACAACCCATTGAGACGGGAGACTTGTAGCGGCAGGAACAGACTTTCCACGGCACTCAGCCCTTCGTTGAATGATAAAGTACAACCTCAAGAGAGCTTCTGCTTTTAGGCTTTAATTATTAAAATGAATACAATAATTTTCAGGCATGGGAGGGCTCTTGGGGTTGTCTGAAGTAAGCCCTCACATAAAGCATCAATCGCATGGTTTACTCTCAACTTCTCTGCTGCAACCCACCCCTCATATTGCTGCAGAAGAACTAACTAACCCATCTAGGGATAGCATCAACCGATGCAGCTTAGCCAAACCAGAGCTAGAAAAACCCAGCGATGCGACCTGGGGTATTGTAAAACAGATGTTCTCAAAGCTCTCCTTCCCTCGCACCATCCATGCACGCAGGGGGGAAAAAAAGCCACGTGGGCATGGAATGTTGGATTTCTTCCTCTAGAAACCTCTGGTTTTTGGTGGGAGCTCCAGCCAGCGCCCGCAGCCCTCCCAAGGCCCTCACCCACGCGCAACGGGCCGGTGGGTCCCACTGGGCCCGCCAG